ATATATATATATATATATATATATATATATATATATATATATATATATATATATATATATATATATATATATATACGATGCAAATATTAGAATTCAAGGACAGTGGGCAAGAATGGAGCAGTTGATTTTTTTCTCATCAAACCTTCATTTCAAGAATTATTATGGGCTTCATCCAACTCACCCAAAGAGAGTAAAATCAAATCCGATATTGCCAAACTGAAGAGATAATAATTCGTCGCACTATGCATAGTTGCATTTTTAATGATTACAACACAAGTAGCAAAATTGCCAACCACTCCACTTACAAATATTGTCACATATGCCATTGTCAATGGAATCACTAGTTTCGGTGGCAAATGTTTTGGTCCCAAAACTCGACTGAGGTATTCCTCTTCCGTTAGATTTTCGTTATTAAGAGAATTCCAAAAATCTTGGTATTCCTGCTCTTCCTCAGATGTTGAGAAATCCATATCGCTCGTATTACCTAAATTCGCAGATTAAATCATTCAATTTATAAATAATACTTTTTTTGTATGTCAAGTAACCATTGATAACAGTGAATGGATAAAATTTATGGAGATAGTATAAAATGTTATCTTGACCATTTTTCTGAGTGAGAAATCATTTATTTTTGGAAGCAGCTATAGATCTATTGCGAACTGTTTTGAAGCAATACCAGTAATTGACGGGTATTGAGCCGCACGTGGTAGAACAGCAAGTTGAAGTTAAAGCTGAAAATTTTCATATGCTATTTAACCATCACCGCATCGTGGTTGTTCGTTTCCTGATAAGAAGCAGTCCTCTCACGGTAATGGTTAAGTTAAAATGTTACCACTCTGAGCTCAAAAGGTTGATGATGAAAGCATAAAGTATTTCGCCATTCTTGCTCTTGTTTAACGATTCTATCGTGGCACCCAGTAATAACTCGCTGTTGCACTCGTACCTCAATTTGAATATTTCGGTGTATTCAATAGCCGACGAGAGTGCGATATTCTGTATTGAACTGGATTTCTGAGTACACAACTTGGTAATTCCCAAGCCGTGGTTCGCACTTAATGAAAATGAACACAGAATAAAATGAATTTCATAAAAATTAGTTATGGAACTTCATTGCTATTCTCTTACAAGACATTTAATAAACACGCACCAGGGAGTCGGTGTTTAACACTCACATCAAGATCGCATTTGATACTGTCACGTAGATACTCTATCCACAAGTATATGCTCACTGAGATATTCGTGATGGCAATCGTAATTGAGCATGAACGGTTATCACTCACAGACACAATGACACTTAATCAAAATACACATATTGATATTCAATTTCTCATTCCTACTGATTTAATTCCAGAGTGTGAGCCGATACTTTTCAATTTGTATGGAAAATTGAACGTTTTTAAAAACATTTCATTCTTCTGTATTAAAAAAATCGATTAATAAAATCATAAAAATCGTTCTCGATTGATCTGATAGAAATTCTCATTAATTTTATGATTTATCCAAATTTGAATAAGTTGAGTAATTGGAATAACAAAATCTGTATAGCAAAACGGAACCGTCTTATCAATTACTTTCTTAGTCAAGTTTGTATTGACACTGGCAAACATATAAAATCAAAAGATTCTTGTCATAGCCTTGAAGTGCTACACAAATCTCATTCATAATATCAATAGAAGCACACAGTTGTAATGCATTGGCTCGTTCTAAATGGAACGAATAGAAGAAACAACCAAAAAAGCAAGAGCAGAAGAATAGAATAATTTCATTATTCCTGCTATTATCTCATACGCTTTATCAAAAGATCACGTTCTTATCATATCGCAGTAATCAAATTCTCATTTTATCTTGCTTTCTCCTATTCTTTCTGCAGTTGCCTGTCATGTTATTGTAAAAAAGAGTTAATAATTTGTTAATTTAATTCGCCGATGAAAATCAGCATTTGAGCCATTTCACCAAACACCGAACTAAAATAGTGCATCAAAAGTTTTGGTATTACGTTTATTCTCTGATCGTGAAATATAAACAAAAAGAAGAAAAATGAACTCTACCGGAGCTCTATAAATCGATAATTGGCCGAGATATAACAGATCCGCGTTTTCTTTCTCCTTCAAAACTAATGTTTCCATTGAAATGATGCAATACTATAATTCATAAGGAAAGATATTCAAAAATGAAGATTTAATCGGAAATTTTCTCAATTTTTCGAAAAAATATTGTTCTTTATGTCATGATTAATTTTATCGGGAAAATCACGAAAAAAAGTTAAAAACGTCCATTTCATGGTGATCCCCACATTTTATTCAATTTTTCTCCTTCTTATCGTAAAATACAAGAAATTTCCGATCCGAAATAGAAATCCTTTTGTGGTGCTGAGAAGCATTTAGGAGTTTAACAGGGGGAAAAGGAAAATTTATTTGTTCCAGGAAGTCAGTTTTTTCAATATCTCAGAATTGAAACGAGATATCGAATTTTTCGCGAAAACCTTTTTTGTAGAACAAAACAATATCTACAAAAAATTTTATGATGAAAACTGTGCTATCTCCCTCCAATTCAGACATATTCATTAGCGACGGGGTCATTTTCTGATTTCCGCGAACAATTTAAGAGAGAATCTTTGGATTCAACTTTGGAAATCTATTGCAGAAGCCCCTGATGAAGTGGCAGTGGATAAAGGAACAGATTATTTTAGGGAATATTACCCTGGGAATCCAGCAGCCACGTTACAGCAACGGAATTTGCGTGGCTGTTGCGTGGCTATTTGGATTGTCATTTTCTGGGGCTAAAAAGGGGGAAATGATATCTGATAACACAATAAAAGTGGATAGACGAACTATTAGTTTATATTTGCACTGTTTATAACATTCTTTTCTATCAATTGATGAAAATTAATGTGAGTGTATATAATGATAATACAAGTCCGGTAGGGGGAATGCCGGGAGATGGCGGCAATGTCGACATCCCAACGGGGTCGATCAAGTCGACAGCAGTCGCAGCCAGAATAAGTGAGACCCCAACAGAGGTGGGGCGCCACGGTCGATTCTGATGGCTGGGCGAGCTGCCTGTGCCGGTGACTCGGCAGTAGGGCCAGAAGAAGAATATCCATGAATTTTTGGAGTGGGGGACAAGCATATGAGTGGGAATTACGTAGAGTGGGGGTACCCTGGGCAGGGAAAACTTCTGCTAGAAGCCCTATAGCAGTCGCGCTGTCACAGGGGTAGGTTCGAAGGGGGGTTTATGTCCTCCTTGTGCTCGATGTTTACTTTATGTTTTTCCGTTGATTCATTAGCCCGCTAATTAATATTGAGGGATGAGACAAAGACTTTTCGATGGAGAATTAGATTCCCCATCTATCAACCCCCGTTTCATCCCTTAATCTCTGCAATCAAAAAATAAAAACTGCGACGAAAGTCGCGGCGCTATGAAAAACTTGATGGATAACACGCCCGCTAATAAAAAAAATCGTCTCTCCGTTCCTAATTAATATGGAGGAATGAAACCAATGCTGTTCGATGGAAAATTAAATTCTCCATCCATTAACCTCCGTTTCATCCCGTAATCTCTGTAATCAAAAAATGAAAACTGCGACGAAAGTGGCAGCGTTATGAAAAACCTAATGGATAACTCGTCCGGTAATTAAAAAATCGTCTCTCCCCTCCTAATTAATATTAAGGAATGAAACCAATGCTGTTCGATGGAGAATTAAATTCCCCATCCATCAACCCCCGTTTCATCCCTTAATCTCTGTAATCAAAAAATAAAAACTGCGACGAAACTCACGGTGCAATGAAAAACCTAATGATCTCTCGGCGCAGTGACTGCCGATAACTCGCCCGCTAATTAAAAAATCGTCTCTCCCCTCCTAATTAACATTAAGGAATGAAACCAACGCTGTTCGATGGGGAATTAAATTCCCCATCCAGCAACCTTCGTTTGATCCCTTAATCTGTGTAATAAAAAAATAAAAATGCGACGAAACTCACGGTGCAATGAAAAACCTAATGATCTCTCGGCGCAGTGACTGCCGATAACTCGCCCGCTAATTAAAAAATCGTCTCTCCCCTCCTAGTTAACATTAATTGAATTCCCCATCCAGCAACCCCCGTTTCATCCCTGAATCTCTGTAATAAAAAAATAAAAACTGCGACGAAAGTCGCGGCGCTATGAAAAACTTGATGGATAACTCGCCCGCTAATCAAAAAATCGTCTCTCCCCTCCTAGTTAACATTAATTGAATTCCCCATCCAGCAACCCCCGTTTCATCCCTGAATCTCTGTAATAAAAAAATAAAAACTGCGACGAAAGTCGCGGCGCTATGAAAAACTTGCTGGATAACTCGCCCGCTAATCAAAAAATCGTCTCTCCCCGCCTAATTAACATTAAGGAATAAAACCAATGCTGTTCGATGGAGATTTAACTTCCCCATACAGCAAACTCCGTTTCATCCCTTAATCTCTGTAATCAAAAAATAAAAACTGGGACGAAAGTCACGGCGCTATGAAAAACTTGCTGGATAACTCGCCCGCTGATCAAAAAATCGTCTCTCCCGTCCTAATTAATATTAAGGAATGGAACCAATGCTGTTCGATGGAGAATTAAATTCCCCATCC